GGGTTCGGGTGCGGGCAAGAGAGGAGCAGGGTCACACAAAGGAAACCGGAAGCGGGGGTGGGGGTCCACGTGATCTCATGCTCTGGCTGCCAGTTATCATGGGGCTTCGAGATACTGATGAGCAAATTCACCCCAGGTCTGCCATGGGGAGCGCGCCGTGGTGGCGTTATGACAAACTGTGCATAGAGAGCGCATCTACCACGTGTTTAAGTCCTGATAAAGGCTTTCTGGCCAATGTTATTTCTGTAGGTCGTGACCTAAGGCGAAGGCATGCGCCACCACCCAGCCCCCAGCCCCCACCCCCCCAAGTGACAAAGCCACCCGCAGTGACAGAAAGGATGACAGAAGCAAACAAAAATGCTGGAGGAATCTAGAGATCGGAGAAGTAGAAACAGCGCTGGAGAAGCCCAGAACCAGGAATCAGCCATGGGGAGGACTGAGTCAGAGAAACTGACTGGCAGAGAAGGAAATGAGGTTTCTCCCAAGATGGAGCTGAACGGTCCCAGTATCGGGAATGACCAGGCGTCCTGACGGTCAGGAGGCAAGAGGACAAGCTGAACTGTGAACCCAAACTGCTCATGTCTACATCCGAACTCAGATCCTCAGAAGGCTATTATAGAAAGAATTATTATGGTTCGAGAAGTTGGGGAGGGCCGGGGAGGCCTCAAGTGTGGGGATCAGGGGTACAGAGGGCAAAAATAACACTCTGACGTAGGCAGGTGAGTGAAATCAAAGACCGGAAACTCTGACTTCCAACCTAAGACAATGCCTTCTAGCACAGACTTTGACATCCTTTGATTCATACGCTCACCAAGACACTTATTTCCTGACTCTGACACAGGTGCTGTCCTCCCTGACGAGTTAGGTCAGTGCCATGTGGGTGTCCCTTCCATGCTCCCTAAGCAGATTTCCCTACAAACACTTGAGACTGCTTTTATCTAGCATGCATCCTCTCCTTGGCCAGATCCTCCTGGAGTGTCTATGGGACTGAGTTCTGGGACTGAATTGTGTCCCCACAAACATTCCGATATTGAAGTGCGAACCCCTAGTACATACCTCATGATGCAACAATATCTGGAGACGGGTTCTTTCGAGAGACAATTAAATGAAAATGAGGTCGTTGGGGTGGGCCATGAACCAGCACGACTGGTACCTTTATTTATTTATTTTTTTAAAGGATTTTCTTTTTTTTTAATTTATTTATTTGAGAGAGAAAGAATGAGAGACAGAGAGCATGAGAGGGAGGAGGATCAGAGGGAGAAGCAGACTCCCCACTGAGCAGGGAGCCTGATGCGGGACTCGATCCAGGGACTCCAGGATCATGACCTGAGCCGAAGGCAGTCGCTTAACCGACTGAGCCACCCAGGCGCCCCACAGCTGGTACCTTTAGAGGGAGTGTGGACACTGGCCCACACACAGAGGAACAACCACATGAAGTCGGCCAACTACAAGCCCAGGATCGAGGCCTAGAACAGACCCTCCGTCACGGCCCTCAGAAGGAACCACCGTGCCCATGACTCCTGATCTGGGCTTCTAGCCTCTAGAACGGTGAGCAAAGACATTCGGGGTAGTTAAGCCCCCCCGATGTGTGATGCCCTGTTGCAGCAGCTCTAGCCAACTCCTACAGACAGGTGTGTATGCACATGTTCCTGTTAGGACAGGTACGGTGAGTCAACAGCAATCCTGGCCCGATAGGGATTCACCAACAATTCACCCTCCAGGCCACCTAGCATTACCTCTCCTCGGTTTACCTGCACTTACCATACGTCTCCATGGAGGTTTCTCACTCTCGGCTAGCCCCGTGCCACCTGGACCGGACCATTCTATCCATTCTGTTCTAGCCATTCCTACCTTCTTCAAATCCCTCCTCAGGAGTCACATCTCCGCCACTTTTAACAGAATTCTTCTGGAAGCTGTTCTAGACTACTGCTCCTGAGCAAGCAAACAAGACTCAACAATATACGTGCTCCCCTCAGTCTCATCTTGAGAGCATGTAGATAAGCCTGGCCGGTTACCTCAGTGATTTCAAACCCCCAGGGCTTTGGTCATCACCGCTTCGTGGTTCCTCCTCAGTGTGGCCTCTCTGTCCCCAGGCCACCCCACACCACCCCAACCGTTCCCCTACAAGCAACAGCTTTAGGCCCACCGTGTGGATCAGCCTTAGGCCGAGGAGGAGGCAGTCATAGTAGGACTTCAGACGTCTCGCCCAAAACACCTCTGCCACTAATCCACCGACTACTCTAAAATTCTCCCTTCTGTCAATTTACTTGGGGGCCCAAGAGGCTTCAGGTGACAAACCTCCAGAAGATAAGTCACTGCCATCCATGGATTCCATGGCTAGAGTGCATGTGTGACCATTTGCTAGTAAGACAACGAGCAGCAAGCCGGGCACTGAGGAAAGGGGACATGACGAGATTTGGAAAGGGGAGAATGAGCTGGAACAAGACTGGTCAGTCAGGGAGGCCGGGGATGGGACAGGAGCCCTCCAGGGTTGGGGGAGGGGAGGAGGGAGCCAGCAGCGTGAGCTTCCTCCTGGCCCCATGGCAGAACGAGGCGCCAGGAATAACATCTTCTATTTGTAAAGGTTTTGGAGTTCACGAAGCCCTTCACATACTGATCACCTCATCTGGTCCTCACGACAATGAAAGAGAAGCAGCAAACATATCCGCACTTCAAGGTCAATGATTTTGAAGCCGAGACGGCTGGGAGACCAGCAAGCCACAGAGCTGAGTCCTGATGCCGGGTCCCGCCCTGCTCGCGGGACAAGGGCAAAGAGTTCTCAACTGAAGACGCTCACATCTGGGTGAAACCCCAGCTCTGACACTGATTGGTTTTAGAATCTTGTGCAAGTGACCTGACCCCTCCAGACCTCAGTTTCTCTAGCATAAAATGGACGGATGCGCTAAAGATCTCCCAAGCGAATGCGCAGGCGGAGCTCAGCAGGCGCCCGGCACCCCGAAAGCACACAGACGTGAGCCAGCAGCCTCACACCAGACTAACTCAACCCTGCAAGGAAACGGTCCTGACACGTGTACGCCTTTTCTCCTCTCTCTCTCCTCCCTTTCTATTGTTTTTATAAGCCTCTTGGGTGACTTGGATGCCAAGTGCCGCCCTTAAGAACAAAGGATACAGAGCCGTGTTTCTCAAATTGTAAGGTGCATTCAAATCACCTGAGGATCTTGTTAAAAATGCAGATTCAGGCTGACTCCGTGGGTAGAGCATGTGACTCTTAACCTCAGAGTCCTGAGTTCAAGCCCCATGTTGGGCGTGGAGCCTACTTAAAATAAAATTCTTTTAAAACGCAGATCCAGAAGGTCGGGGGCAGGGTCTGAGATTCTGCATTTCTAACACACTCCCGGGTGGTGTGGACACCTATGTGCAGGTCACACTTTACATAACAAGGATGTGGAAAGGATCATGGGAGAGAAGACGGGTGACAAGCAAGAGGGGGACTAGAAAACCCACAAAACCCACGGAGACCTAGTACATGCGGTAGCCCCCTCGGCATCTTTTCGTGACACAATGAAGAGCGATAAGCAGAGCCTGACACACGGCAAACTCTTGTCGAGGGGTAACTATCACCGTCCGTCGTGATCACAACCTCCATGACCACAAGGCAGGGGTGTGTAGATGCCCCCCATCACCCGTGCACTGGACTCTGCCTCCTGAGTATGCCTCGGTTCACTTTCTGGACTACAAAGACCTCTTCCTCAGGGTAAAGGCCCTTCTTGACAGATGGCACTGACTGTGCCCAGGGATCCCTTGCTCATGTGGCCCTGGACCGCCGCCAGAGAAACATCCTGCCCACCTGAGGCTTCTCACAAACCCTGCCCAGGACAGGTTAAAAACCCTGATCACATGCTCCAGAGAGCTCTAAGGAGGACAGTAAATTGTTTCATCCTCCTCAGCTTGCCCCAGAGCAGTGGTCTGCAATCCTGGCAGCTGCCTATGGACCTCACCTCGGACCCTCCTTCCCCGACCCCCAACCCCGATTTAATTGTCTGAGGTGGGGCCTAGGAACATGTGGCCGAAGGTCAAACAACATTGCCCTTGGGAAGCCACGTTATTCCTGACCAGGAACTCGGCAGAAACAAGCTCCTCTCCAGAACGAAAGCATCATCGTAGCGGGGAAGAGGGAGGGAAGCAAGTTTCTACCCTAAGTTCATTTCCTTCTGTGATGGTTCCCACAGAGGAGTTCTGGAAGTGGGGGGGAGGTCAGTTCTAAAGATATAACAGGGTTCGTTAACCCCAACCCTGGAAAGCTGGACGGCTTCTCCGGGTCTTCCAACAGAACTGGGTACAGAGCGACCGTCAACTGCGTTGGCATGTGAATCACTCCTGGGCACAGAATGGGCAAGAATCCACCTGCCCCACTCCCCTACCTTCGTGAGCCACAGACGACAAGTCTTACTAGGACACAGCTTTCCAACGTGCCAGTGGAAAAAAAAAACCACCTCTTTTCCCCCACAGATGAGTACATGACTTCAGGAGTTTAAAAGACAGCTCATGGGGCACGTGGGTGGCTCAGTTGTTAAGCGTCTGCCTTCGGCTCAGGTCATGATCCCAGGGTCCTGGGATCGAGCCCCACATCTGGCTCCCTGCTCAATGGGGAACCTGCTTCTCCCTCTCCCACTCCTCCTGCTTGTGTTCCCTCTCTCGCTGTCTCTCTCTGACAAATAAATAAATAAAATCTTTAAAAAAAAAAAAAAAAGACAGCTCACATAGCAGAAAGCAACTAAAGAATGGCAAGGGAGATTTGCTGACATCATCTGTACTCTCCCCAGACATTCTTCCCTCAGGATGAGATTCGGCTGAACCCACCCGGTTTACTATATCTAGAACATTAAAGAACCCCAAACTGAAAGAAAAGGATAGTCAAACGCTATAAAGGAGCTGAGTACATTTTACTAGTTAAATTAAGCCGTTCAGGAAACACATCTGTAATCTCTGCAAACACATCTTCACCCACCACGTAATCCCTGAAAATGAAAGCGTCCTACCTGATGAGATCTGGTTCTGCACCCTCGTTCTTAAAGGATGCCACGAGTAGTCTCTCTCGAGTTACAAGTTCATCCAGCAGGTTCTGTCTTCGGTCTCCTTCAAGCTGTGTTCTGGGGCGTCTTGTTAAGGTCCAACGGTGGGTGGATTACCTCAGTTTACCTACTCTGTTATTAAGCGAGCTCTCCCAGTCAGCTGTGACCATTACAGGCTCTAAGCAATAGTGGCCAGAAGAGATGTGAACTGTTCTTCTCCCCCTCCTGCTCTGACCTTCAACATTGCAGATCTTCCAAGTAAAGGACCTTGACAGAACCATAGCAGGGTTCTGAAACACACCCACCACTGAGAAATACAGCAGGTCGAAATTATCTTCCTCCCAGCGACCAACACTGAAATGATTATTCCTGTCAGCAGAGCCATCTGACTCAGGGATTCCTCGGGTTTCGAGTTATAGGTGCCGGTGTTCAAGGGTGTTTTCCTAGACATTAGTACCCTTAGATACTCTGTAAAGAAGGAAAGAGGTTCTCTACATTGCCTTCTTTCTTCCATGTTAATGCCTATTAACACACTAGATTTTGTGAAGTGCTTCTCTATGCGACAGATTTGCTCTAAAAGGAGCTCCCATAGGTTCATTACTTAAATACACTGCATGATGTTTAACTCTAAAGACAATTACAAAGAAAGAATCGGATTTCAATGTGTTATTCTAGCAAGCGTGCGAAACCAGGAGTCCAACGCCTGTAGTCTTACTTTGACCAATATCTATGATCTTGAATCCCCTTTTTGGATCTCCATTTCTTTATATGCAATGCCAGATAACAGATAATCTCTAACACCTTCTCCAGCACAATTCCTGAGTTATGGCTAAAAAAATAAATCGGGGCTAAATCCAGAGTTTTCTGCACTAGCTTTCTTGAAGCAAGCTAAGTAAGTTCTTCTAGGCTGAGTGAGTGTGTGTTTGTGTGCGCGCACGTGCGTGTTTAAAAACAAAGCGTTCAAGGAAAAAGATTTCTGCCGTAAAAAGAACAAGGGGAGAAAGCTAACCTACCCTTCTGAAAGGACATATCTGACACAAGACATAAAAAGTAAGTACAGAAATAAGCCACGTCAGCATAGATCTTCCCTGGCTTTGAGTTTTTTATTAGATGGCTTTTGTTTTATTGGACCTGAAACTCTGGTAATCCAGAGTTACCCCGGCCACAATTACCTAGTGCTGGTAACAGGAAGACATTAGTGAGCCTGCTGCTTTAAATTTAGAGACACTTTTCTATTTAAGAGAGGGAGAGCAAATGCTGCATGGAGGCCCAAAATATTTCCGAGAAATTGGCAAAATCAATTACTAGCATCACCATTTCCTGCAGGGAGCGCAGGACCATAGCCCAGGGAAGCCACAACGGCTGTTGCTAATTTTGAATAGAAAGAGCTAGCTTGCTAGTAAAATAATAATAATTTTTTAAAAAAGATTTTATTTTTTTGACAGAGAGAGACAGAGAGAGAGGGGACACAAGCAGGGGGAGTGGGAGAGGGAGAAGCAGGTTCCCCGCTGAGCAGGGAGCCCGATGCGGGGCTCAATCCCAGGACCCTGGGACCATGACCTGAGCCGAAGGCAGACGCTTAACGACTGAGCCATGCAGACGCCCCAAAATAATAATTTTTTAAAAATCCGTAAAAAAGTTCCCCGGTAACAGACAGTGGTAATATCATAAACCCCCAAACCAACATAGCTAAGCAGTGTCAGTGGCTTCAGATATTAAAATAAGTAAATAAATAAATGAATGAATTCTCTCAACTTTCCAGAATGCCACGCTTCCCCACGGAAAATCGCTCCATTGCTCTCCCATTTCCTTCTTGCCTGTATGTCACCCAGTATCCCATCTTGGAAACCATAAGGTAGCAACAGCGGGCTGGGGACGCCTGGGTGGCTCAGGCGTTAAGCGTCTGCCTTCGGCTCAGGTCATGATCCCAGGGTCCTGGGATCGAGCCCCCCATCGGGCTCCCTGCTCGGCGGGAAGCCTGCTTCTCCCTCTCCCCCTGCTTGTGTTCCCTCTCTCGTTGTGTCTCTGTCAAATAAATAAATAAAATCTTAAAAAAAAAAAAGAAAAGAAAAGAAACAGTGGGCTGGGCGCCTGGGTGGCTCAGTCGGTTGAGTGTCCGACTCTTGATTTCGGCTCAGGTCATGATCTCAGGGTCAGGCTCCATGCTGAGTCGGGAGCCTGCTTGAGACTCTCCCTCTCCCTCTGCCCCTCCCCCTGTTCATGCTCTCTTTCTTTCTCTAAAATAAATTTAAAAATCATTTAAAAAAGGAAACAAACAGGGGCGCCTTGGTGGCTCAGTCGTTAAGCGTCTGCCTTCGGCTCAGGTCATGGTCCCAGGGTCCTGGGATTGAGCCCCACATCGGGCTCCCTGCTCGGCGGGAAGCCGGCGTCTCCCCCTCCCATTCCCTGTCTCGCTGTGTCTCTATCTGTCAAATAAATAAAATCTTAAAAAAAAAAAAAAGGAAACAAACAAACAACAAACAGCGGGCTGAAGTACTTCCTCTGGGCCAAAAAAGAAAAGGCCAAATATCTGCCTTTTGATCAATGTAACATCAAGAGTAAGTATCAATGTGTTTCCATTAGTGGTAAATTGTCAACAGAGCAGAAGGCTTGTCTTCTACCTAAGAGAAGTTCATGGGTGGGGAGGGAGGAAGAGGGAAAAGCAGCTTGCAGAAGCTGTGGCGTGAATTATACACGACAAAATGGGAATTTTAATTTGTGGAAACTATTAATTGTACCACAACACTAACTCGCCTTGTCCTGTGTTCTGTGCTCGGCCTACTCCAGCAACCTGTGGTTTTACAGTGTCCAGCTACCCAAGCGAACAAAAGCTGAACCACAATCCATTCTTAAAATCAAAGACAGATTTCTCTGGCTCAGGGATTTAAAGAATAAAAAATTATAAAAGTATCATTAGAGAAGACATAGGGGGACCTTTCTGATAATCTTGGAGGAGGAGAAATCTTTCGCATCAAGATTGAAAACGTAGAGGGGCGCCTCGGTGGCTCAGTCGGTTAAGCGTCTGCCTTCGGCTCAGGTCATGATCCCAGAGTCCTGGGATCGAGCCCCACGTCGGGCTCCCTGCTCGGTGGGAGGCCTGCTTCTCCCTCTCCCACTCCCCCTGCTTGTGTTCCCTCTCTCGCTGTGTCTCTCTCTGTCAAATAAATAAATAAAATCTTTAAAAAAAAAAAAAAAAGATTGAAAACGTAGAGGCCATGAAGGAAAAGACAAATCTGACTATATGAAAACTGTAAATATCTGCAAAATAAATTTATAAGTGACAAATGAATAGTGACAAATGGAAAGAAAGGCAAAGGTGTAATGGAGCACAGAAAAAAGAAACCCTAATAATATCGGAAAAGCATTCAGTTTCACGTTAGTAAAAGAAATGCAAATGGAAACATAGTATCACCTTCACCTATCAGTTAGGAAGCGTGACCAGGAAGTTCTGGAAAGGGCAGAAGAAGCATGCACCCTCTGACATTCCTGGTGGGAACATAAACAAGCTCAGCCAATCGCCAGACTGCCTTCTAAATGACAAAAAATTTAGAAGGCACATTCTTTCAATAGGACCTTCTGCAGATATACTCACACATCTACACCAAGACTTTGGAACAGAGGTGTTCACCGCAGCATTATTTATAACAGCCAAACAGCAGAAATGTCCTGCCGTCCACCAATAGGGAATTAGCACAACCCCACAGTGGAATGTTTTGCAGCCTAGAAGAAAAAAAGAGTAGCAACACTCTTTACGGGCTGATGATGGTGATTAACGTTGCCGAGCACTCACTAAGTACTTACATGGATTATTTGATATGGAGTCGTCTCTAAAACACAGTGTTAACACGAAACAAAAGAACAGGCAGCAGCAAAGAGTTAAAGAGTGAATGGTGTGTTCCCACTACATTTAAAAACCACTCAGCTGGACACACATACGTTTGTCTGTCTACACAGAAAATTTCTGGAAGGATACACAGCAACTGCCTCTAAGGAGGAGGAGCTGGGGATTCAGGGTGTGAGGGAGACTTACTTTTCATGGAATATTGTTTTGTATTGTTTGCCAATCATAATGCTAATTAATAAAATCACAAGTTTCAGAGCCATTTGTATAGTATGATCCCTTTATATAGTCAAAAGAAATTTATATCTACATGGATACATACTTATGCGTGCCTAGAAAAGTCTGGGATGACGGGTGCCCACCATCAACACCGTGAACCCTGAAGAAGGAAGTGGAGAGGGTGGGGATGACGAAGAGAGGGGAGAGGCGCTGGTAAAAACCAACCAGGAGAAGCATACGGGTAGAAGGTGCTTTTATAATAAAAATAGGAAAAGACAGGTTTTTAAAATATAGCAGACACCTGTTACAGTATGAATCTCGTTAAGTCACGTCAGTTTCAAGAGCGGTAAGCGTGGTGATTTTGTTTTGTAGGTTAGCAGCTAAAGAACAGAATCACAGATAGTTATGGCTACAGGAAACCTTAGGGTTCCCCTAAGCCAGTTAGGGTTCTCCTGGTTCTCCCGACCAGGAGCCTGGCCCTCCCGACCAGGAGCCTGGCCCAGTGCGGCTGTCCCCTGGCTGGTTAATGACAACTCTCGCCCAGCTCGTTCTGCTTTAGGTAGGGGTTTTTCCACCACATCGTGCTGGCCTTGACCACCAAACCTTCCGGGGGCTTCTCCACCCTGGGGCTCCCAGGACTGCCGACTTAACTTTGCCACTGCTCAGCAGCCTGCTAAAACCAGGAACAAGGCTAGTAATACTAATTCAGAATTTTCCCAGAGACTCCCTGCTAACCTGGGAAAACTGGAAGTTTAACCAATTAGGAATGCCCTCCTTCTTTGTTTTACTTGTATTTTAATCTACTGAGAGGACATGGTGTAAGGAGATGGGGGAAAGGGGGCCAAAGGAGAAATCATAGAGTAATAGCCCTTCTGCATGGTGCACGTATTATATGGGGGTTGTTGTTAACAGGAGGTCCAAGAATCATGCAGGCAAGGATCCTACTACACGCAGGGAAGGACAAGCAGAAAGGAGGGCACAGAGTTAGTGGCCAGCGCTGGGACCCCCTCTTCCACCA